ACAATTACATATACTTTTCTGTTTTATGGGAAATTATGAAGTTGTGAAAACATGTCCATTCAGTTTCATAAAAGGATGTTTACTGATGATTTTCTCTGGCTTTCTAAAATTCCTTACCAATAAATAAGTCGAAACTTAGCATTCGAAATAAATTTGAGATTCATTATTTATCAAAATAAAACTTGCTTGACTTGATATTATGGATAATAATTCATGTATACTAAGTAATATTATCAATTTACATTTGCTCATATTAATTTTGAATGCTTTTTTATCAATTAATTTGGCAGTTTTCGACTATGGCACATTATTTTGTAATATTTTAATGATTTTTGTTCGATCTTTATTAGTATTTTCCCTGAAGATACGAACAGTGGTCGATTTCAGAAAACTTACAAACAATTCTGTTTGAAAAGGGCATAAAGACAGACTCCCTGAATTCCAGTGGTGGGATCACGTGCCTATAATGCGTAAGTATCCCCTGTCGAATGTTTACATCCGCCTTTAGCCTTAAATATTGATTAGGCAGACGGAATAATCCATATTCAAATTAAGTGTAAATACAAATTCCTAATAATTGTTTTAAAATGCGTCAGTCAAAATTCGACCCATTGTTAGATTGTATTTGCTAACAAGGTCATTATAACGGTCGAAGAATTTACGAAATCTGACTTTAAAAGAGGTTGTTGACATTCTTGTAACATCAACTTATTTTCAGTAGCTTGCATCGGTTTAAAAGTATATGATGTACTCTTCAGTACCGACTTATTTGGGAGACATAAACACTATATGCACACGGTAGTGGAATGCTACTACCAAAAAATGGAAAGTTGATGATCGAAAGTCATCTCGATTGTCATACTGCTTGGTTGTTAGCTGGCCATAATCGTCTATAGTCAGTAAAATATTCAAATCTGAAATAGATGTGACAGACTTTGTAGTGTCTTTTATTTCAGGTTCGCTAGCCTATCCCCAGTTGACTTATGACGTGAAGTGACTATTCTTAATTGATATATCTGAATGTCGAGATGAAGACCAAGCAAGTATTTCCTTTTTCTCATGTAGAAGTTTTTGAATAAATTTAGTTTCATTAGGAATATAAAAACGGGTCAGCTAATGATGGAGTACAAAAAGTGACCATAAGAATTCCAACACATCTACAATAACCTTTTGAAGTAGAAAACTTTTCATCGAGGATAACATTTTAGACAAATAAACATGTACTGGATGATTCAAAATATCAAATACGAAGAAAAACTCTCTCTATAATGTATGCGAGTCTTTTAAAATGGACATAATCACAACAATCAATGAATTTTTTTATGATAGATAAAAAATGTGATAATCAATAATTGAACTTTCTTTTATGTTGATGTTCTGTTATACGATGAAAACACTCACTGTCCTTTTATTTGACTCAGAGTCATTCTAGCATTGACATCCATTACACCCAATAATTGTCTATTGTCAAGTCAGTTCAGCGGGATGGACTGTTTTATTCTTTTTTTTTCTTTATTGAATTCAGCTATGAATGGTTTTTCGATTCCTTCCGATCCTACATTAAAAAAAATCACAGCAATGAATATATTGACATGGTGTTCCAAAAGGTTATCTGGGGCAAAAGTTTAAGAAAGATTTCTTAATTGAAATGTCAAATCTACGTCTGTTTTTGTGAATTGAGTGCTGCTAAAAATTTTTATACTATTTTAGAACCCAGACTAAATTCATGTAAACTTGTTTTACAAAAGCTAATTATAATGTGTTCAAAGGTTTAACTAGAACTATTAATAATTTTTAGCTCAAAATGCTTAAATTATTTAAAAGCTCCAAAATGAGGTACACCTCTGCCACACATCAGCATTGATATTTCAGCTCAATGCTTTCTCAGAAGAAAACATTATTGGTGGTAGGTTTCCGTGTTAGACTTAAATACTTAAAGCAAAAAATAAACATTCCTTCATGAGCATCTGGTTATGAAATGGTGTCCAAGAATGATTAAAGATGTAATTTATATGCATCAACCAATTTTTTTTTTGCTCGTTATCTTCTGGAAGACAAGAGACACGAGAGCATTGGTATTAAAAAAAACAATTTTAAAGAAGTGTATCTTATAGGGGGTTTCGTAGAGCATTAATGTAGAACCTAGTCGTTTTACGCAATAGTTTAATTTTTGCTTGGTCTAAACGAATCTGTGACAGTCTTAGCTAACGACAATACACAATCATGATAATGGGGATAGCAGGCAACTACTTAAAAGTAATGCAAACAAATCTTCATTTGCCATCAAAATAGTACACAATCTTGACGATGTGTCATCTGAATCATAGATCTGTTTAAAGATTGTATTTTCTGTTTGTTTATATATATTATGACGTGTATTCATTTTCATAATCATTTGTACATAGTACATATGTATTTTTAATGTTTGGTGAATAAAAATGATATTTCTCTGACAAAATAAATTTTATAATGTACATTTTGTTTTATAAATATTTACACAATAAATATGAAAGTAGCCCCAAAGCAGTCTCAAATGTATAATAATTAAAACCTGTCCAAGTGCAAAAAGATCAATAGTAGTAATACGTATTACCTGCAAGGGAAAGTATATATTTCATTCACTTTTCATAATGATTTGTGCATTTTCTTCATTATATTAAAGATTGAAAAAACCTGTGACAAAGATTACTGGAAAATATTCATAGCATCAGGATGTTAGAATGACCCAAAATCCTATGACAAAATATTGAGTGTTGTTGATATGTGAGCAGAATATTTTATGTCATTGGAAAAAAGAAGTTATTGTATTATAATGCTGCTGAATTCACTTATTTGTATCAGTAAAGGATGATATTTGAAAAAAAAAAATGTTTTTGTTATTTTTCGTATTGTCTCCCATGCATCGCTGAAGATGGTTAAGTAGGAATGTATAATTTTCGTTCCAAGTTATTCAGGCTTCAGGCTGCATAATATTTAATAAAAGAGAATGGGGAAAATGTCATTTATTTTTTATTCTTGGTTATAAGCGAGTGATAACTGAAAATTCTAAAAAGTTTAAAAACCCTATGATAAAGACTTAAGATAACGCATAATCTCTTGGTCCATGCTTTGATTAAAACTTTCACTTCTTCACTTATTTATGATCATGTCTCATATCAAATAATTTTCAAACCCCACTGCGGGGACGTGGAGACCGGTCCTTCGAATGAGACCGTATAAACCGAGGTCCCGTGTCGCAGTAGGTGCTGGCACGAAAAAGATCCCTCATTGCTCAATGGCCCTGAGTGCCGAGTATAGGTCAAAATTTGTAGCCCTCCACCGGCAAGTGAGTGAAAAATGAGTGAAAAATTCTCGAGAGGGACGTTAAACAACAAAAAAATCAATCAATCAATCATATCAAATAATTGATTGCGAATCGATCCATACGGCCGTCATAAATATATATATATATATATATATATATATATATATATATATATATATATATATATATATATATATATATATATATATATATATATATATATAGCACAAACAAATTCACTTTTACATGGATACCCACTTCCGCCCCAACCCGGGGTTGAACTCACGACCTACGGAATCTGTCTCCTAGCAGTACAGGAACAGCGTGCTAGACCGCTCGGCCATCTGGGCAAGTCAAAAAACTTTCTTTCGATGCCAATGGAATTCTTGCGGCGTGTAGTCCATTCTTGCTACTGATAAGGTTTTAACTGTGTTTTGTTGAAAAGAAAAAGGGGAGGTCAGGTATTGAAACAGATGACATCACGGATGCAGCTTATTTGTGAAATATCTTGAGCACACAAGTCAATATATCCTTTCAAATACCTATGCAAAATTTATCAAGTAAGTATAGGATTAAAATATGACAAACCTATTCTTTTGAAAAGGGACTGATATTTCCTTTACTTAAGCTCATCAGTTTTGTAGTAGGCAAGATAAGCTGTGAAGAAACAAAAGAAAACTATTTTACATTTTCACACAAAATGACGAGCAGTTCTGTCACTTGGATGTTTTAAGGATATTGATTTATATTTTTATATATTTAAAAAAAATCCTATAACTTCCTGCAAGCCATTAACTGCTATAAATCGAAATTTTGTGGTACATGCTGTCAGACTGGAAAATTAATCTTTTCAGTTATAACACTACTTTGAAATTTTCAAAAATGTTTCATTATGGAACGAACTTTCTTAACACCCTGGCCTTATATATATATATATATATATATATATATATATATATATATATATATATATATATATATATATATATATATATATATATATATATATATATATATATATATAGGGAAATTAGGTGTAAAAGCGAAAATAAGAATTCTTAATAACATGTGTTTTTGACAATATGTTGTTAGAAAAAAATATTTCTCTGTTAAATTAAATTATTTCTGTAAAACAAATATCAAATTTCAAAGGAAATTTAATCCATGATGGTAAATAAATATTTCATAGATATTTATATTCGAAAAATAAAGTACGATCTAACGTAACATTTTACATTTTGCAATTTACATTTACATGAAATATTTTTAGGGATCTAGGGAACGCTATCTTTATTCTTTCGTTGTTCATTTTATATTTGTTTTAAGCTTTTCTTCCAATTGCAATTATTATAACTTATTCATCATTACGATACATGTCTTTTCCGCTTATAAAGTCAAAAATATATGAAAAACTGGGGAAAAAAATCCTTTCATTTTACACTGACAACAGATTAATTCATGCAAATTGGAAAACAAATAATTTTTAGATTGATAAATATTTTGAAATAATCATAATCGATCTCAAAGGTCATATAAATAATAGAAATCTGTGAACTGGGAATAAAACACGGACCCCTGGAAACACCAGAGGTGGGATCAGGTGCCTAGAAGGAGTAAGCATCCCCTGTCGATTTAACCACAATTTTTTACGGAAATTAAGACGTCTTTATTTAAACCGAAATGATTCAATGCACAGACTTTTGCAACAGCAATCAGAATAAATTATTTTTCTAAATCAAAAACATTACATGTAACTCCAATTAAGCTGTCACTCCATTATTTAAACACAACTCAGAATTCTGTCTTGGTGTATTGTCTATATTTTCATTAGAGCTTTTAGAACCGTTTCTTCTGAATATGATGTCATCATTTGGTGATTCTAAAAGCTTTTTTCCTTCTTCATGCAATTCGTCTTCTATGGGATCGGTCACTCCTACATTAAGTTCCAATTCTAGATAAAAATTATTAAGTACAATTTATAAAATCTGGAGTATTTTTTTTACCGTCACTACCATCATTCAAATTACTTGAAGTACTACAGAGATTTTTTGTGGATAGGTTTATCAACTAAATATTAACTGGATCCTTGAAATTACGTACGCACTTGTGTATACAATCACTTCAAATAGACTTTGTAAGAAAATACGAAGGTTGTTAGAAAAGTTCACGGACACATTGATTTCGGAAAATTTATTGTGTACTTTGAAGAATGGCTTATGTCTAATTAAATTCTAATCTTTTGTTTCTTAGTATGTACAAAGTCATGTCCATTTACTAAAACTTTGAAAATATACAATGATACTAATGCTGTCATAGGATTCACAGAGTAATCACTTGACGTTTTTGTGACGTTAGGTAACGCGACTACCTAATTCCAAAGCTGTCAATCTTTATCACAGTTTAAAATATCTTTCATTTCTATAGATTTTTTCATATCTTTTTCGTACTTAAAAATTAAAAACAATATGAAGACATGTCACTTCTTTCTAAAATGTCTTTTGTGGCGTACCGGATATTGGTGAGATCATAAAATTAATGTCTACGCAGTTAAGCGATCAGGTATGGAAAATATGCGAAACCCATAGGCGCAACGTCCGTGCAGTTGTGGAGTTTTAGGGTATCACAGGAGTTGATAATCAAATTGTCAATTCTTTTATTCTTACGAAGATTCTACCTTTTGAATACTGTGGTACTATGTACGTGTAGGCAATCCAGGGCAGCATCTAAATGAATTTTAGTCTCTTTTGGGACATTTTCCTGTCGGCACACATAATTTTTCAAAACTCGGTGCTCCAAGACGTTCAATAACGTTGCCATTCTTGACAATTTTTTACGCATTGATCGTCTATAATTGGCGACGAAACAGTCATATTCCCTCTGACTCAAATCAAAATTTCGCCAATTCATGTTTCATGAATATTGTTGCGACAGATGAATTATCATAAATCCTTAATTATGCACTGCAACAGTGCAATTTTTAATTTCCAAATAATGCTTATGTAATGTAAATGTGCAAAAAAGTGGCATGCTCCGTGAAGCATGTTTTATCTTTAAAATACAGCTGTTTATTTTTAAAGATCAGAAAACACCAAATATCTGCATATTTATTAGAAAATACGTATAGTTTTTATCTGCTGAGTTTTAATGGTTTCATGCAAATAGCGCACTCACAATAGAACTTGTCCGCGAACTTTTCTAACAACCCTCGTATAGCATTTTATATCATGGACTGATGCGATAATTATATGATGAAAATGCAACGTCATATATCATTATAAATTCATAAGGAGAACAGAACGAATTATTTTTGCTTCACATAATGGGCAAACTGATTCTTGATGTACATTAAACACACCTGATTTATCTGTATTGGCCTGATACACATCTACCATAGAAATAGATGTGTGGGCTTCTTTTGCTTCCGGACTTTTCTGCAAGACATATTTGAAATGTATTTAATTTGAAGAACTACCTTGCATTATGTATTAGTTCAGAATCAATTGTTATGTACATCTGAAAATATATTGCATCTATATATTAAAGCATCTGAATATCAACTTCTACGTAAAAATGTTCCTGTATTCAAATCTACATACTCATTTGTCTTGTACAAAACTATTGCATAAATGTGCTATACATTCGAATGTTGAAAAAGCAAAATTATAGACTTTTAAATTTATTTATTGTCGATTGTATAGTAAAACCTTGCCTTTTTGGGGATGAAACACATAACAATCGCACCAATTATAGGTGGGGCACCAGCAGCGACAAATGCTATTTCATATGTGTGCAGATGATCGTAAAGCAAGCCTGCAAGAATGACGTATATACTATAATACTATTATATTTGTTTTGTTAGTTTATTTTTTTATGAATTATATTATTTTATATCATTAAAGTACACCATCCACTAATTATATTTGTACATGTATGTGTTTATAAGTTTAAAGTTAGATAAATTTTATTAGATTAATACACAGACTGATTCTAAATAACAAAACATTTTATTCTTTCGACAATTGAAAACGTAAACATCAATGAAAGAGGATGATAATTTATTTGTAAACACAATATAATATTTTGCGTGGGTTAGCTTGACAGTCATTGTGGGTCAATACAGTTTAAAATTGAATATATACATGATGTAATTCAATCTGACAGAACATGCAGATCCAAAGTTGAAATAGAACATGGAAATAATTGTTACAAATTATGATTATATTTCTTAGGCCTTCAAAGTTAGTGATAAAATGAAGAAGAATAATAAACGTAAAATTAATGTAATAGCTTAAACTTATCTATCAAAGTTTCTCATTTTGTCAAATACATGAATTTGCTATGAATTTAGTATCATTCAAAAACTAAGAACTTTAATAACAAATGTATTTCACATACCTATAAACTTTATTTTTCTCACCTGCAATAGGAGGACCAACGGTAAATGGAATAGAAAATCCACCTAACATGAAGCCAATAGCTTGTGATGCATTCTTTGGACCAACAAGGTCAAAGGCAATAGGACCTAATAAGCATACACTGATTCCGTCACAAAGGCCCATAATGAGACAAATGGCCACTAACCCTTCAAAACTGGCACTGAATGGGATGCATGCTGTTACGAAGCCCGTCACTACGAACGCACATTGCTGCATGTAAATTCGATTTATAAATTTCAAGTCAGCTACCTTTCCAAACACTATTCTTCCGACACCCGAAGTAGCTTGCATGCAAGTGATCAGAATATATGCATTGGATTTGGGAAAGACGTCTTGAGTATGTTTAACCTAAAATAAAGAAATAGGTTATCACAAGTAAAACAGTCATTGTTCTTGGAAAATAGTATAAACAATTAATTCTGACTATATGTTTAAAGAAAATAGATAATACGTCATCGATACTTAATTATTGTTAACAAAGGCAACTTAATGCATTTCTGAGGTAACAGATGAATGTGTGTAGCAGTTTATACCAAATATTTTTTCTGCAAAACAATTCATCATGTGAGTTTAGAAATGAAAAAGTGAAGATAACGAACAGTGATCGATCTCAAGAAGCCTACAAACAATATAAATCTGTTAACAGGACATAAAATAAAATGATGTTTAAGGTTTGTCACTCGTGAAATTTGTTATATCAAGGATTTTTTGAGAAGTATATTTTGGATAAGTACTCATATAGTATGACTCAAAATCGCAGAGAAAATGGGGTGTCAGTGTGCATCTAACTGAGCTACGGTACAATTAAGTTGACCTTTCTGCACTTAAATTGTAACTCTTTGGTTAATCACTTTAATCGTTATCATATTTTATCAGATGTAGCCATGACAATAAACATAATCTTATTTTATGTAAAATAGTTTGAATAATATTTATCACTGAACAAATCATGCAAATTAATGCGCATAAATTATTGTGTGACCTTTTTGCACTAAAAAAGTCTCAAATTTGGGGTATTAAAAATCTAAATGGGTAATAGAATATTTTCTTGTATCAAACTTTTTACGACGTAAGTGCTGAATGGTCAAAAGTGTCGAGAAGTTTAAAATAATGAAAGGAAAAGTTGGGGTCAATGATGTAAATTTTGAAATATTGGTCAAAGTATGCGATTTTCTGGCAAAAAACTGTATAAATTTTATCTCGATTTCCTTAATATATCTTCATTTCTTGGCAAAGTTTGTTGAGCGAAGGTGTAAATTTTGTTATAAAAATATAAATTGAGACCTATATTTAATATTCCAGGCATTTCATAACGGAAAATATTCTCTGAGTAAAAGTATGTGAGGCTAAAGTTCCAAGATATTAAATTTAATAAATGTGTAGATTTGCAGAATTTTCTGCTAAATATCCTTCCACCACAAGAAATAGTCCCTTATAAATCTTGCTTCTTTATGAATTTTTTAGCAGTTTTTTAATTGAATGTTGAACATTTTACATTGTTTAATTCAAATATGTTATAAAGATTGAATTGTAATAAATAGTTTTTAAGTAAGAGGTTCTGACTGAAATTTTCTAAAAGGCTGACGAGTGACATACCTTAAGGAACTTAACCTTACAACGCGTTTTACGTGTTTCTTACTACATATATGGCGATATACAAATTCCGGACGTAAACCACGAGGAAACCAAGCGGAATCGAGCAGGAATTTGAGGCGAAAGATGCAAATGAGTTACACCCAGAAAAAAAAATAATGACGATCAGAAATATTACGCTTGGAAAATAAAATTATGCCTAAAGCAGAATTACAGCTAGAAAGTCTTAATTATTATATAATACTATGTGACCTACAAACCTATATAGTCAAGAAAAACAGTGAAAAAACTGAATACATTGATTTACAATGTAGTCTTTGAACTGTATACATGTACAAACATACTGCAAGTAATTAACATCTACATAGCCGTAGGAACCGGGGGGCACGGAGGGCCGTGCTCCCCAGTAATTTTGCCGATATATAGATAACTATAGTAAACATAGATACTATAGGCTTGTGCCCTCTCAATAAAAACGTTTGATGACCTTTTTTTTGGTTTTGCTTGTCAGAAAATTATGGTAGTGACCCCTCAACTGTCAACTGAAAATGTATGGCTGTGCACCCCCCCCCCCCCCCCCCTCCAACTGAATTTGCTTCCTACGGGCCTGATCTAAAAATACAAAGAAGTATATTTTTATAAAAGCTGTTTCATTTCTTCGCATAAAAGGGACGCTGTAAAACAACCATGAGTGTAAAATATATTTTCTAAAGAATCTGACAAGACTTTTTAAAATGCTTTTATCACTTCGATTATGATATTGAATCAAACAAATAACTTAATGCAGTCCATATATTCAGTGCTTAGTTGAAGTGCTATAATGACATATTTCAGAATATGTTCAAGAAAACTCAGAATATCTAAAGAGAAAGAACAATTATTGTAATTCAAAGTAACCCGTAGACATACTAGTTACTTTTCATCAACCTTCCAGCACATACTATATCATCCAGGGCATAAGTGTAAAAGACGTAACATTAAAATATCTGTATATCCCATTCACTCAAACTAAACTCCCTCTTTCCTGACTAAATTCAAAATTAACCTCCCAACTGAAAAGACCATTGATAACTAAATTTACCAACCAGGGCCTTTTTCTCCTGTTTAAAGTTCCAGGCGTAGGAAAATTTGAACTTGCCAAATGATGTGCGAAAAGTAGAAGTGACACCTGGAGGAGACCTCTTCTACTCGGGTCTAACTTACAAAATTATATCTCTGCCTCGAATACGTCCAAAATTTGCTTCTTCCTGCCAGATTTCACTCATATTCTAGGCCAAAGTTGCATTAAAGATTCGTACAGGTAAACATGCATGCAAGATAGAAATACATAAAAAGTTGTATATTTATTTTTGCAGGGATGTAGTTTCGAATTTTAATAAAAAAGTGTGGGAGAGAGAGGGAAAGCCCCATCGAAAAATAATTGACGAGAAAGAAGATTCACAAATCTCGATTTCTTAAATCGGAGGAGGAATGTTTACTCTGATTTTCTTCTGAAAGCATATCTCGGTAGAGAAGAGTGAGAAGACTTGACTATACTTCAATAAATATAGGAGGGATGCAGCCGGTTTAAGAACGTTTATTTCCATAAATAAGTAAGAATCGAATGCTTTTTTTTTTTTAAAAAAAATAGGCGACAGGGCCTTCCAGTCACATTCGTACAAGAGGCATGTCTCAATTCAAAAGCCATGTTTTTTAAAAACAAAATTATGTTTCAGTTAGGATCTGCCTTAAGATCTAAAGGTTAATATACGTACTATAAGCATTGATTTCATTTACATAGTACGCACTGTACAAAATCTATATATACTTACTAAATGTACAAAGGGTACAAAGTATCCAAATAAAGCTATGCCAAATCCCAAAAACCAGGTTAGATATGCATGGTTTTTAAAAATGTTCAGATTCAAGTACTTCTTTGCCCAATTGCAACATTCAACCCCTTGTAGCCTTTTGTTCGAAGATACATCTACGCGTGAAATGTCAGTGTCTCTTTGGAACAATGGCTTCCAAGTCAGACTGCATGGAAGAAGTATACAATACAACCCTCCAAGGAAAAGAAAAGTATATTTGATTCCAAACGATTTCAGAACAATTGGAAGAACAATAGATAAAACAATTGTGTAGACTGAGCTTCCAAAAGTCACGATTCCATTCACAATGCCCATATGCTTTTGGAAGTAGTGTCCAAGAATGACCAAAGAGGTAGAATAAATGAATCCTCCACCAATTCCGAGTAAGAGACCATATGTAAGGTAAAGAAGCTCCAGTTGGATGACAAAGGCACTAGAGAAGAGACCAATCGCCCCTAAAGCAGCTCCGAAAAAAGCTGTTGGTCTGATGCCTATTTGATCACTGCATATACCGGCAAAAATGCTCATCAAAAATGTTATACCTATGCAGACTGATCCTACCCATGCTGAAAAAAAGTCAATAGAAAAAGAAAATTAAAAGAATTCTTCAAAAAAATTATATCCATTATCAATGTTAGCAAACATTGGGAACAAAAAAGATAAAAATAGTGTTGCAAAAATACATTTTATTCTTGGACGACAAAAACCTTATTAAACTATTTTGTTCATAAATTTGAATAAGTGAAAACTTAAATGAAACAAGTTTGCTACTTACATGTTTTGAAAGCAACTGAATGATCTCCCTTGGCATATTCCTTGATTAGATACACGTATATTATGCCAAAAGTGTTGAGCATGCTGAAAATTGTACCATTTGTCAAGAGGGACGTAACACATACAACCCAACCCCAGCCCCCGTCAGGGGGGATAAATTCCTTCTCAAGGGACCTTTCGTTGGGTAGCAATACTCCATCTGTTTCGTTATCAAACTGTTGTATGGATTCTGTTTCAGTCTTTGGTGGTTCCTTTTTCTCTTCACTACTGGACATCTTGAATTACCTTCTGGTATAAATATATATATTTTTTAATTCATTAATAAATCGTTACAAATTATTTCCTAACAATTGTCTAATACAGGTTCGAAATTTCATTCTTTAATTTCGTTCTTTCTGATCTTTAAAACTTTTGAGATCCTTGAGATCCAAGCTGAAAAAGAGACATTATTTAATCCGCACATATCTGAAGAAGACTGAATTAATTTGGAAGGAGAAAAACATAGCTTTATGGTAAACAAAATCACTATTCCAAGCATATACAACGAATTTCAAAGCTGCATAGGGTTTCCACTATAAATTTGATTGATTTACATGCATGAAATTAAAAGTAAAACTGGACAATCTACAATCAAATTACTGGAATTTCTTGTCTGTCTTATTAAAAAATCTCTTCTTAAATAAATAAGAAAAAAATGATTTCATTTACCCAAAAATTTACATTTTGTGCATTATAAAATTCCTAAGCGATAGCAAAATTATATGAATCAAATTTAACCTTCATAATGTAAAATATTGACTTATTAGAACGAACTCTTTGACCTTAAGTATTCTTAAGTCTTTGTCTTACTTTGCTTATGCAGTTGATGAGTATTAATGACTAAGGCACTCCGTAGAATGTACAATAAACTGTCTCCGATCTTTCGTTGTGGTATACTCACGCACATGTCGTCAATACAATCATTGAGAAAATCCTATGTAGACTTTTAAATTACTTAATGTGTATATAATTATTATCTAACTGTCCTTAATGATATACACGTGAGAACAACTATGAGTTTATGAAATATATCAGCATAATACAAACTTGTTTCATTGAACTTTCCACTTCCAAATCCCTGAGTGTGCATTTCAATGATTTATCCTTAGAATCTCGGTACATTTACCTTGTGTTCCGCATTCCGAATCTTTTAGACTGTATAAATCATTGTTAATGCACTACCACACACACCACGGAATACGTTTGTTGTTAATTTAAATGTCCTGAATAAACTAAACTATTTTATTTCAATGTGCAATCGTCTGCACTGCAGTGTAAAAGATAGCATTGGTAACCAACGCTAAGGACAACCTGTAATTGAGCAATATGGTTCATATTTATTGGCTTTTACCTTTACTTGTCAAATGTACTTTTTTTTTTAATTCTATCTTGCTGTTTTCGAATTTAAAAAGAGGAAATTAAAACATGAAATCCTATACCAGTCGCAGAAGGAATCAAAGTTGAATGGTTTTACTTAAATATTGCAATGGAAGACTAAAAAGGGTTTAATTTCATGGCCTGTAACTTTCCCGTCATTACTAGTAGTGTTTAAAAAACAAAGAAAACGAATTGCAAAGTTGGGCCGAATGTACAATATTTTCATTACATAATCCTTTAAGTGCCAAAGAAAGGTCGATATTTGCATGTTTCCATTTCAGTAAAAAAAATCAATACAATATTATTACGTAATCTTATATTTTTCCTAAAATGTATACATCAAGGTAAGTAAGATATGAGTTCGCAATGGTTATCATAGGATTCGATTTTATAATTATTATGTAATCTGCAATCAGAATAAGCCTGTACGAAACGTATCCCAAAACGATTTAAATGAATATAAATTAAACAGAGAAGAAAGTTTTACAAGAAAAATTTACCAGATCTCTCAAAGTTGCTAGCACACTGGAATATTTTACTCCCTAAAACTTAAAGAAAGGTATATAAGAAAGTTAAAAACGATTTAAACAATTTTTAAAGAAAACAAAAAGTGTATACCTTAATAGAATGAGGAATATCTTCCGACAGCTCAACTGTAGATCCGGTCAGAAAAGCAAATAAGAGTTCTTTTTTTTTTCTTTTTTTCCTAAGACATTCGCAGCTAATCACAAAAATCTAATTCACAGTAAAGTTAAGGTTTCAAGAATTTTCGCACCTAAAATTGTATGGATAAGTAATTTGCATTTTATATTTATACGAAATTATCAAATATATATTTTTTATATTTATCGAAACGAACATCTCAATGGAAACTTGGTGGTGGATCTATCTTGGTCACAAGATATGGTAAGATTTCACGTGATTTAGTATCTATACTTCAGTGATATAAACTGTAGACAGATCTCAATATTGCAGTGGTTATAACCTACATGGATAGTTTCTGAAATAAACCCAAACATATTGAAAATGCTATTGACATTTATTGTTTCCCTCTTATTTACTATAGATTCAATTCCTTTATGTTAATCACATTACAGAAAGTGTATATCCAGACAGAACATCTTCAATTGATACTTGAGGTAAATTTGTTTTAATTCGACAGGCCAACAGCATTTTTGAATACATGTACATAAATTGTAACCTCCAGAATAAATACATGTAAAAGGTATCAAACTCCACAAATATACGAATATTTCACAGATACACTGTACATTTTATTCATTTCATGACCCAGTGAGCTTGTTTAAGTCATATTGCAAGTTTTGGAGCTCAAATCGTGCTCTACACGAGTTTGAGAACATATTTATTTTTAACTTGGCTGTAGTAGATGATTTTTTTATATTAATTTTTTTTTCATTTTAAAATAAATAAAATTTGATTTGAGATTACATTAGATTTTATTTCCCACAAAAAATCTTCATTATTTTGGTTTAATTATTAAGTGTGTACAGAAAGGATAAAGATAACATTTTACTGGCAAAAAGTAATTTGTGTAGTACTGCATTACAGACCTTGACACAATAGGATCAACTTCTTTATCTTTAAATGATGTAATGTCCAATTTCAGTGGAGTTTTTATTATCTATTTCTAAATATTAATCTGAATCTCACAGGATAAACTTAAGGTACTAGTTTATAGTTCGAAGTCCCTTCTTTTGATGTTATTTTTTTATTTGATAACCTAAAATTTAACTTAAGGCACTTTTCAGAAGATAGGATATAAAGTTAACATATACCGATGAAACAAAAAGTGCAGTCTAGAAGTTTTCATTAAAAAAAAAAGCATAAAGTGGCACAGGCCTTAATTGAAAAAAATAAGAATTTTCAATGGAATATTTCTTTATCAAATACATACATTGTAAACCAAAATTGTTGACAGTACTGAATGTCGTTCCATTGCAGATAATAAAGAATGACGGCAAACACACTGGGGTGCAAAATTTTCAAACGATGTGAAGTTAAGTTATTCATTTTGATTGGCATCGTGTTGGTTGATTTATTAATCTTGGATTGCATTAAATTTCAGTTCTGGCAGGTTCATTGTATTTCTAAAATATTTTTTTAACCATTTCTTACCTTATCCTGTATAATTAACACGTTTATTATATATATATATATATATATATATATATATATATATATATATATATATATATATATATATATATATATATATATATATATATATATATATATATAATCAATAGTGTACTCGTATTTTCAAAGCTATCATTTTGCATATGCTTAAGAAAAGATCTGGAGCTCTAATCAGAAGTTATAGAATCGACACATAACTTAACAAAATAGTTATATATTTCAGAAATTATTCCTTTTTCCTGTCCTCGTAGAATAAAGATTAAGCATAAGTAATATATAGCAACAAAAAAATGGATAAAACACATATCCAAAAGGTAAAGATAAAATAATATGAAAGTTAGAACATTCATGATGCATGCTTGAATTTGTTTAACCTCTTCTCGGACATTTCAGATATTAAAAATACCACTGTATTTTAATTTAAAAAAAAAGGAATGTAATGCAAATATACAATACATGTTAAAGTCAATACATTTGAGCTCATATGTATGCATTAGATAACCGATAAAAAGAAAAAAATAGGACAAATATTATGGAAAGTAAATATACATGTACCAGCAACGCATCTGTTCAGTCAGTATCTTCAAGGTGCGTGTATATGCACTGACTGAATACTATATTTAAATGATTCATTCAAAACTCTGCAGAATGATTGATATATACAACGATAATGATTAAGTCAATAAAAAAATGTTAAAATCTTTGAAATATTTACTTAGCTTTCAGTTGGTATACATTTTTAGAACATAATAAACCTTACAATCGTTTGAGGAATCGATTAATAACAAAATATTTGGTTTAATACCCCCTTTTATTGATCTATTACAATGTCGTTATAATTTTGTTTTAAAATATTTCAAACTTAAATGTATTACTACTTAAGGATTTTGACTGTTACAGCCGTTCACAGTAGCCTCATGGTAGGGCATGCGCTTCGTGATCTTTAGGCCCGAATTCGATATAAAAGACACCATAGAGTCAACCACATCCAAGAAAGATTTTTCAGTTCGACCCCTGTTCCTAAACTTCACTTTTTTTTTTCATTTTAACCACCGAGTAACTATGTAGCTCTACTGGTGGAGAGTCTGTCCTTAAGGATACTTGTCGTTCGATTTATATTCTACTGTGGATATTGCAAATATTTTTGAGAGATTGATTACTGTTCGTAATCTTCACCTATTTCATTTTTTATTTGGAATTTTCTGACTAAAAACATTAATGGCAAAAGTATATCTAAATTTTATACCAGGTACATGTAATAAAATGTATTACTTCTGCTTTTTAATCGTCATCTTCCCCTTTTTATGTAGTGAAATTATGTTTTCACCTGAATATGGTGTTCCTGTCATCCAACTGATTCAACAGGCAAGTTTGACAGTACATATGTCGCCCCTGCAAACATTGTCACAAGCAACATTTTGTGCAGAATCGCAAGAGCCTTTTTTCAGTATAAAGAATCTTAATCCAAGACAGGCTACTGAGAAAAAATTAGATTTTATAGGTCTCTCTACAATCTCGTTTATAGATAACATTTCAAAAATGTTATTGTGAAATAGTCATTATAATGATCTGATTTTGTAAACACATTTTCATGTATATACTTTAAAAAGTATCCAAATTAATCTATTTCTTTTGAAGTTATTGGCCCCAACTCTGCTCGCTGAATATGCAAAGTTTCGATAAAATCGCCCCTCTTGGTATTTT